CTCTCTGCTTTTTTGTTATTGTTTTCATTTTTCACATATATATTATCTTGTCGCATCTTAACATAACAATGAGGTATAGGTGCCCTCTTGAAGAACGGCTTCTTCAGAAAAGGAATTCTCGGGAAAATTTGGACAGGTTCATACCAAATAGGTCTGCAATGGATTTTGATTTTGCGCATTACATGCTTACTCAAGGTAGGAAAGATAAGGAAAACTCATCTAGATATGGAAAAGACTATAGGAAGCAGTTGGCAGAGGCTATGAACATGAATCGCACTAGAATCCTCGCTTTCAAGAACAAGCCTCCTCCCCCTGTAGAGCTCTTCCCGAGCAACTTCTCTTCTTTGCCACAGGATAAAACGGCAAACTCTAAGCCACAGAGACACATTCCTCAAACTCCAGAGACAACACTGGATGCTCCTCACCTTATTGATGATTATTACCTGAATTTGTTGGATTGGGGAAGCTCCAATGTTATCGCAATAGCTCTTGCAGACACAGTTTATTTGTGGGATGCTACTGATCATTCTACTTCGGAAGCAGTCACATTTGAGGTTGAAATGGGACCTGTTACCAGTGTCAGTTGGGCTGTTGATGGAAGTCACATTGCCGTTGGACTGGATAATTCCGAAGTACAGCTATGGGATTCAACTACTAAGCAGTATCTGAGAACCTTGAGAGGTTGTCACAGATCACGAGTAGGCTCACTAGCATGGAACAATCACATTCTTACTACTGGAGGAATGGATGGCCGCATTGTAAACAATGATGTAAGAATTAGATCGCACATTGTCAATACATACAGAGGACATGAACGAGAGGTTTGTGGGCTTAAGTGGTCGGCCTCAGGCCAGCAATTAGCAAGTGGAGGAAATGATAACCTGCTCCATATATGGGACAACAGATCAGTGGCACCATCACAGTGGCTTCACAGGCTTGAAGACCATACAGCTGCTGTAAAAGCCCTTGCTTGGTGTCCTTTCCAGAGAAATTTGCTAGCTTCTGGTGGAGGTGGGAATGATCGGTGCATAAAGTTCTGGAACACTCACACAGGTGCATGCCTGAACTCGGTCGACACTGGCTCTCAGGTCTGTGCTTTGCTGTGGAATATGAATGAACGAGAACTGCTTAGCTCACATGGGTTTACTCGGAATCAGCTTACTCTTTGGAAATACCCATCAATGGTTAGAATTGCAGAACTCACGGGTCATACGTCTAGAGTCCTTCATATGGCTCAGAGCCCAAATGGTTGCACAGTAGCATCAGCAGCTGGTGAAACACTGAACTTCTGGAATGTTTTTGGGGACCCTGAGGAGGTTAAACCTGCTCCCAAAGAGCCTTTTGCCCATGTGAATCGTATCCGCTGAACAAGAACATGAGAAATTACATCAGATGGAGATTCTATGGACCAAAAACTACAATCAGGTATGGGACGCAGAACTGGAACTTTGATCAGCACTATTCTTTCTAGTGCAAGTTGGGATGAAATGAAAAGCTTCAGCGAAAGTCTCAAACAGTTGCAGTGCTTACACGAGCAGCAATCTTCGGCCATTTTATTTCTCAATTCTCCTTTATGAAGAGTGATGGGAAATAGTTTTCTCAGTTCCACTGTATAAAGAGTGATGGGAAATAGGAAATCATTTTATTATTTAGGTAGTAATGGATTTCAAGAAATCCTTGAAATCATAGACATCAATAAAGCTAGAACTTATCTCTTTTCCCAGCCAAAAAAAATTCCAATTTTGGAATCACACTCTTGCCCCCCATATATTACTTGTGGTTGTCTCGTTGATCACTCCGATTAGGCCGACACCAGTATGCCAGAGGCCTTGATTCTCTCTTCGATGTGCCACTGAGACCCAAGGGGGGACTTTGCTTTTGAAGATTCAAGTAATGTGGAGCTGTTGGTGCTGCAGGCAGCTTTATTAGTACTAGCATTTGCCCAGTACTAGCATGCTGTATTAAACTAGCTCACTAGCAGCAGCAATGACATTGTTAATGTTCTTCCTTAACATTTCCTGCTTTTTTTTTTGGTAGCGTGTTCCCTGAATTTTCAATCTCTCTCCATAAGGTTTCTCATCAACAGTATTTGCTAGTGAGCTTGTGTGAGCTCTTCCAAGGTTGAATACAATTATCATGTTTGTAATTTTGGTCAGTAAATATAGTACACACTTAAACTTTCCACTTAGCATGAGCAAGTGCAATCATCAAAAGAGACCCTCCCTTCACAATGGATGCTCTTTGAGATGGGGATAATCAATTTCAATCCCACACTTTCACAGAGAAAAATGAGTTAAGGAAGGGAAAAGAGAGAATTTAAGCTTTGTGTGAAAAAAAAAAAAAAAAAAGATTTTCTATTTAAACCTCACACTTCTCATAGTTCACCCCATGTTCTAAGTTCACCCCAACTTTTAATTTAAATTTTCACAATTTCTAAGAAAACCCCACTATCTTCCCAAACTACCCTTAAATACACCCCAAGCTGAAAAAATAATAAATAAGAAAAATTTTCTATTTAAATCCCACAAGCTACCCTTAGTATAACATGAAGAAAAATTCAAGCTACCCAATACTGATATTCCAAAAGTGACGATAATATTACCAGTGATACCTAGAGAACAAATTGATTCTAATATTGACGTTTCATTTGCTGCAAACAAGTGTCAATTTAATGATTGAATGTTGCCAAATAGTTCTAATATTAAATTGACACTTTGCACTAGGAGTAGGCCATCTGGTCGGCCACCAATGGAGAATACGTTGAAGCTTTTATCAGAGTGGAAAAGCAACAAGAAAAATAACCCAACTATTGAAGTAGCAGCAGCAGGATTATGATTTTAGATGCATACTGGAATTCCAGAAGTGACAATAATATTACTGTTTCTAGCGAAAAAAGACACAAACAAATGGAACCTCAAATTCAAAATTTAATACTTTCTAGAGAAAGAGAACAGTTTTACCAAAACATCGGGTATTAAAAAAATAAAAATAAAAAGCAATCAACAACCAAGCAATCAACAAAGGGAAGAGAATAAGATCATTACAGCCAAACAATCAACAAGTCTTTCTATCAGCTCCCACGCAGATTTTAAAGAGGCATGCTCGTCAATGTTCTACGTCTCTGACAATAGGAGTTTGTATTTTTGTAAAACTTAATATGAAGAGTGGTGGGGTGTGTGGGTGTGTGTATAGATGTACTATGGTCAAGTATTAAGTTGGACGACTTTTTTGTCTTTTTACATAATAATAAAACTTACAGTTTAATGATTTAAGTATTGGGGTGAACTAAGAGAAATGTGGGGTTTAAATAGAAAATCTCAAAAAAAAATGCGTTAAGTCCTTCATAAACGAATATAATATTTGTTTTTCTAAAGTCAAACATTTTAAAAAAAGCGAAAAGGATTTATGTACAAAAAAACAAAAATTACAACGGTAATCAGGTTGAAAACTTGCAGACCGCGAAATCAAAACCCTATATATATATACCTCTCTCCTTAGGAAATTAGAAACCCACAACTCTATTCTCAGTTTCCATTTCTTCTTGAATTTTTGGCCTTCGGGTTCGTTCCAAATTCCACTTCTTGTTTGTTGGTGTTCAATTTCTTTTTTGCATTCTGGGTTTGATTCAATTTCTTTTTTGCATTCTGGGTTTGATCCGTTTTGGGCAGCCGTGAATCTATGGCTTCCAACATTGAAGGTACGCCACAAATGATCAAGCCTGGGTTTCAAAGCTGCAGGCCAAGGATGCGAGTTATGAAGCACCCTCAGGCTTTCCACTTCAGAATCCCACCAAATCAAAATATGAAAAATCGATTTTAGTACAAAATACAATTTATGCTACAAATGATGGCTCATTAAGTCAATATATACTTCATACTAAAATCCCATAAAATCAAGTTTTCTTATTTGATGTGTGAGAACCACACTAAGGGCTACAGCTCAGTGTGGTTTTTTAAGAAAAAAAAATATAACTGATATATTTAATTTATTTTCAATATTAACCCAGTAAGTGGTGGTGTACAGACTACCTTATTTCCACTTTCAACATTTAAGTAAATGTCTTTGTCATTTTACTTTTATTTATTTTTATATTACTCCATTTACTTAAGTTTACAATGTAAATAAGGAAGTACCCCCCATTTGGATTCAAATAAAAATACTAGAAAATCAAATTCCCACCAAATCAAAATATGAAAAATCGATTTTAGTACAAAATACGATTTAGGCTACAAATGATGGCTCATTAAGTCAATATATACTTCATACTAAAATCCCATAAAATCAAGTTTTCTTATTTGATGTGTGAGGAATAAAAGCCGCCAAAAATTATCTTCAAAAAATGATTATTCTGAAAACCCATTTTTCATACTTAGTCAATATTTTTACATAAAACAATTTTTCATGTATCTATATATATAAAGCAAAAGACAGAGAATAGTGAAACATTCAAAATACCAAAAAATGCCCTTAGTTAATGCAAACATTAAGAATTGAAATTATTAATTGAATGAGGATAATATGGTAAATTCACAGTTTTTCATATTAAAAAATTAAAATTAAAAGAAAAATTAGATAATATATCCTATTTTTATGGAACATAACTACCCATTATCTTTTTTAATTGTAAAATAAATTTAAAATTTTCTTAAAAATGCCTCTTGCAGGCGCGGAAGCGCGTGCAGAGAGGCTAGTGATATGAATGCATGAAGGAACTAAGGTCAATCTAGATAAAAAGCCTGAGATGTTCAATCCACTATGGTGTTCAACCCTATTTGGTTTATGTTAAAACTTATTGAAAATTAGTTTATGGAGGTATGAACTAGCGTGGTTTATATGATTTAATGTTTACTTTTATTTCTACAAAGACTATAGAAATTATAAGTACCAAAAAAATAATAATAATTAAATTTTAAACTAATAACTTTAGCTAGCCCACCCGTTGAAAAATTCCTGGTTCCACCCTTGCAGAAGCAGAACCAAAACCAGAAGAATGTGATCTCATGGATGAAGATGAATTATATGCCTATGGTTATAAACCTGTTGCCTTGTCTTGTTCTGAAATTAAGCCTTGCAGTCCTTGTAAGGCCTCTTCTTCCACGGAAGGCAGCTGTGCTTTTCATTCAGTTTGTGGTTCCAATTCCACCCCATCTCGGGATGATGATGATGAGGGAGAAAGCCATGAACTTGATGAGATCAACAGCCCAAAGAGCGACTCTGGCCCATCAATTTCTTCACCATCCTATTTTGACTGCAATTTGTGCCTGAGAATGGCAAGAGAGCCGGCGATGAATTCATGTGGCCATTTGTTTTGTGCGATTTGTTTCCAAAATTGGTTGCAGATCTTCTCCCTCGCTCATCCAGAGTGCCCTATTTGTAAGAGTGATGTGTCTCCCTCCCTCCTCCATCACTCTGATTCTGCAGCCTGCCTCTACCTCCTCCGAGACACTAGTAGGCCACGGAGACCTCAGTTCTGGCTTCAATGCACCACCACCAAGTCCAAAGAGTGGACTTTGTTTATGAAGTTTCAATTGACGTAAAGGATGTTTATTGATGTTGCAATTGTCATGTTTGTAACTTTTTTTGATCCAATTGAAGCTTATCTTTCGTTTTCCAAATATAAAAAGTGATTATTATGAGCCTCAGTTTTAATCTGTGCATGATCCATTGCTTGGTTTTGATTTGAAACAAGATGTTATTGGCAAACACCATCATCATCAAGACTCTGCTTGCGCATTACTGAAATCTATTCTGAATTTTTTTTTTCATATGCATTGAAGGAAAAGAAAAGTACCAAGAAAATTGTCTTTTATTTAAGTGGCTCACTTAAATCATAAAAAATCATTATTATTTCAACCGAAAATCATACAAATATTTTATTAAGACAAGGAATGATCATACAATGACATGATCATATAACCCTCAACTCTATCCCTTGCTTTATTTCCTGCGCTCATGTTCACCTCCATCTTAGTTGATACTGGTCCAAGAGAAACAAGACAAGTTAGCAATATTTTTTATATGTAGCAAAATTCATAAATTAATTAGGGGAAAGATAAAAAAAAAACATAAATTTCATGCCAATATGCAAAAAAATTTCCCCACTTAGCATTAGCTAGAGCAATTCTTTAAAATGTGACAGTCACTTCTGGCAGTTGATGCTCTTTGAGATAGGGATGTTCGACGCAATTCCACACTTGCCAGGCAGAGTAGTAGCTGCATCTTCCTTAACATTAGGGAAGTGATTGCCGGCCGCCTTGAAACATTCACAAGCCTGCTGCCTATCTGCAGTGGTTTGCGTGATTGCCTTGATGTTTTCCACCCCTTTGTAGCATGCCTCTGGGGGTACGCCCCCGGAGGTCAGGTAGGTAACACAAGGGGCTAAATTCAAGTTGACTTGGCCGCAATTGACTGCCTCTCCTTGCTGCACCATTGGGTGAGCCAGGGCTAGCACAACCAACATTGCTATCACAATTCCCTTCATGATTTTTTTCTTGGTATTTTGAAATCTAAGTGAAAATCTTGATAGTGAGATTGTGTTTTTGTGCTTGTGCTTGTGCTTTGGGGATGGATTGTTCACACTTAACATTGTTTGTATATATAACAGTTTAGTATCCATGGCCTAAACAAAAAGAGTTGTGGAATTTTGGCCTCTTTATATGCCCTCTAATGTCACTGGGATAACAAAGACCAAAGAAGAGAAGCTTTGGGCTGATTTCAGTTAGGCCTTTGCAGGCTTTACAATTTGGTGGCCTCACTTGATCTCTTCAATTCAGGATTTTCAATAAAATTTTGTTTGGATCCAAAACCACCCTCAACTTATAGTTAACAATGGCTATAGGCAGTCCGAAAAAGATGACAAATGAGAAGAACAGAAAGGAAAAGAAGCAAGTACGCACTGATCAATACTATCTAAGATTAGTAATTTTGCTTTTGCTTTTGCAAATGGAACAACAAAGTATGGACAGAATTCCAATTCTTTGATGCGCTATGTACAATCAACTCATAGCCACCTTAACAAATTAGTTAGAATCTCACTTGAATATGACTTCAGTGCTGTTGAGTTGAATGAAATATCACTTGCTCTCGGTTAAAAAAAAAAACAAATCAGTTAGAATGTGCAGTCGGCTCGAATGACATTATCTGCCCTAATTTGATTTTGCCAAACTAAAGGTCCGTCCCTGGTGCCACCCCATAAAAGCACCACGATCGTTTTAATGGTATAGTAGATTAAAAGCACCACGATTATAGCATGGTATGGATTAAAAAAATATATATCTGTAAATAAATCGCACATGTACCAGAATAATGTCTATTTATATTGGAACCTAACTGATAAAGGAAAATAACTTGGCAACAAATGTCTAGAAAAATGTACACAATAGATTATGAATCTAAAGGAAATCTCTAACACACGTTTAATGCGGTCTCCAACCCTAATTTAATGCCAGTTGTAATTCAATATCCCTGAGTCCACCTATGCATAAGCCGAGATCGAATCTTTTTCATTGATTTTACAAAAACTTGTAAGAAGTTGGCAGGGGACTTGAAGAGTTCGGATTTCCCTTATCTATTAACAAAAAGTAAAAAGTACAACTAAAAATTATCAACATCGTGTTAGTTACATTAAAACATGTGACACATAACATAACGCTTTGGTCTTAGAGAATACGGGCACATACATACATGCATGCTAAGTTGCTAATTTCATGTACCATATATACGATCGCTGAGGAAAAACTATCTCAATCAAAATTTGGGAATTAAACAAAAACAATAATAATCAAATGTCAATGGCATTGTCAGCCCTACATTATAGACAGAGGCATATATAAAACAGAAAATAAAATAAAAGTTTTATGAGCCTTCATTTGAATCTGTGATTAATTACAGGAGATATTCTCCCTTCAGATAAGCTTTGACACATCAAGATTCATATCAGAAAAAAACAAGATTCAAGGCCTTATAAAATTTCTTCATGTGACCTATCTTAAACCTAACCTACCGCACTCTACCACTCCAAGGCCAAACTTATATATTTTAATAAGCATATAAATACACTAATAATATATATTTTAATAATTAAAAAGATTAGCTAAAGTAACATTTCTAGAAATATTACTTAAATTTATATATATATATATATATAATGTTTTGATGAAGATGCCCAAGGTTATAGAACAAAATGATTTAAACTGGAATATTTTCTTTTTCTCTCCACTTTTCTCAATAGAGTAGTGTAATTATGTAACTCATAATATTGGAAATTGAATAAATATAAAATTACAAATACTTTTGCATTGGAATTTCCTTTTAATATTCCAGCTAAAATTATAGACACAATTGCAATTGATCATTGGAACTTGATCTAGCGACTAGCCAGGATACTTTTGCATTGCCAATGATGACGAAAATCTACCAAATTCGTTTGGGAGTTATTCTGTCACTTCTTGGGATATATACACCTCTCACGTGCGTCTTTATATAATCATTTTTAGTGATTTTAAGTAACTATAAGGAAAAACACTACCTATGTACTTCTTCAAAAAAGGTAATTAGTGACTCATTCAGAATCACTTTCAAACGAATCATCATAAAACTTCTATAATTTGAAATTGAATAAGTAAGCCAAAGTCAACTTAGCTAGCTAACAAATAATTTATCTGGAAGAAATCATTTTGCATATCAACTTTGAAAACCGATGACATTGATATCTACTTTTTAATGTTTGGCTTTAGATTGCTTTGTAGGATCGGATGTTGCTTGCTAAGTATTATACGATAAATTTCGTCTTCACAGAAAAACGTGAAACCGAATAGTGGCAAGTTGAGCTCTCTTTTTCTTCTATCTTATGAAACAAAACTCATAACAAATTGCCAATAATGATCATGTACTTAACCAAGGGTGGAATTATATTTTAAAAAAAAGCCCAACGCTTTACACTTGGGATTGGGAATCTCCATGTCTAAAAAATGCAATAAAAAATATTAATTGGTTATAATTCATGTGGCATGGGGAACACTGCAGTGTTGAGATCATTTAGCCATTGATCAACAACAGCTAGCTGGCTCATCTCAACCATCTCTACTAGGCTTTCGCTACCCGACTCTGCTCCAGCCACCGAGCTAACTCCGGTATTTCTCCTTTTTGGCCTTGGCGACCCGCTGTCTGAAGAGGCAGACGAAGAGGAAGATTCCGGTCAGGCCCTGTGTGTGTTGTGCGTATTTATATGTGGGCTATGCATATATTTGTTATTTTATTCACAGTAGTGCTGTCATTGCCATGAAACTTCATTGATCTGTGGATTACTTTAGTCACATGCATTACATGCTTAAAAAAATTATTTATGAATTAAATAAATATTAAAACCCAGGGATAGATTAATCTATTGGCCAGTGGCTCAGTTTACCTATTTGTTTATAGACTCCGAAATCAGTGATCACAAGAGGCCAAAATGGCCGATAGTGGCAAGTTGCAATAGGGCACAGGTCACCCTGAATTATTCTCTCTCAATGTTGGTTGGTGGTAGCATGAGTGCATGAACCATGTAATAGTAATAGTCCAATAACATCTCTAATATATATTGCTTGAGATAAGAAAGATTAAAATCCATCATCATCTGTGTTTTTTTCCTAGCTAAAGAACAAAACTTATCGCTTAGTTAATTAAAAATAATTGGAGTATCAAAACAAAAGTAGCTAATTATTTCGTTAGGTAATAGGTACTAGTTAAGAAATACCCAAAGGAAGGGGAGAGGAGAATATTGTATTGGGTTGCCTCAAGATTGTTTCATACGTGAATCAAACTCAGGTGCATTTGCTAGAAAGGGGAAGAGTTTAGCTCACTTTTACACTGTCGTGCCACCCAGGGACGAACCTAGTTTAAAATTGGGTGGGCTAAAGTTAGGTACTAAGAGCGTCTACAATGGGCTTCCTAAACCACATTCTTAGACAAATTTTTTTTTTTCTCTACATGCAAGGGTAATATATGATGCTTCTTCTTTTTTTTCTATGTGCTGTGTGTGAGTTATTTTATTTTTTTCTCTTTTTTTTCTTTTGTTGTTCTGTGTGTGTTCCCCTACACCCCAACTAGATGAGGTTAGGTTATTTAAATTTAGTGAGCCCTCTTCTTTTTAATGACTAGGAGAACTAGATGAGGTTAGGTTATTTAAATTGGGTGAGCTAGGATTTTATTTTTTTGGCTGGAAAAAAGAAGCCGCTTGGGCTATAGCCCGATTTTGCCAAACTAAAGGTCCGTCCCTGGTGCCACCCCATAAAAGCACCACGATCGTTTTAATGGTATAGTAGATTAAAAGCACCACGATTATAGCATGGTATGGATTAAAAAAATATATATCTGTAAATAAATCGCACATGTACCAGAATAATGTCTATTTATATTGGAACCTAACTGATAAAGGAAAATAACTTGGCAACAAATGTCTAGAAAAATGTACACAATAGATTATGAATCTAAAGGAAATCTCTAACACACGTTTAATGCGGTCTCCAACCCTAATTTAATGCCAGTTGTAATTCAATATCCCTGAGTCCACCTATGCATAAGCCGAGATCGAATCTTTTTCATTGATTTTACAAAAACTTGTAAGAAGTTGGCAGGGGACTTGAAGACAGGCCAACCGCACATTATGCTTATTCCGTTTACAATTATAGTCCAATCAAAACTAAAATTAATAACAATCAAAATATCAAGATTGAGAATCATGGGATTCTAGCAAACTGTCCGATTGTATTTGTATCTTGCCTGACCTTTTAATCCTAAAAAAATTGATATTAATTTGTTGAGTTGATGCTCTATATAATGCAACAAAACTGTGTTGTTCCGAAGCAATATGCATATATATATACCTTTGGCCATACCAAATGTTGGTTAGTAAATTTTTTTTTATTGTTGGAGAGAGAACTTAGAATATCTTCCAACGATAAGAAGGGAAGCATTTATTGCGGGGAATGAATTCGTTAGTCTTCTGAAAAGACTTTTGCTCCCTGAAACTATGAAAGAAGACGATCATCAGTCTTTGAGCACAACAGTGCAGAGTAGTCAAAGAGTCTCTGATGCCTAAACTAATTTGGCTGTAGAAAAATAGGATTTCTTAATTGATCGAATAGTTACCTTCTCAAAGAGGTGGATGTTTGTTTATATTTAGCTCTTTGCAGTGGCGGAGCTAGAAGCTAATCTGTAGGGGGGCCAGTACTATATATAAATGCAAGATTGTATAGAGTTATATTTTAACTAATATTGTAGTTGATGCTTAAGAAATAATGGGGTTTTCATGGAGTTTGGGGGGGGGGCCATGGCCATGGCAGGCGGAAAAAACACTACCCATGTACTTCTTCAAAATAGGTAATTATTGACTCATTCAGAATCACTTTCAAACGGATCATCATAAAACTTCTATAATTTGAAATAGAATAAGTAAGCCAAAGTCAACTTAGCTAGCTAACAAATAATTTATCTGGAAGAAATCATTTTGCATATCAACTTTGAAAACCGATGACATTGATATCTACTTTTTAATGTTGGCTTTAGATTGCTTTGTAGGATCGGATGTTGCTTGCTAAGTATTATATGATAAATTTCGTCTTCACAGAAAAACGTGAAACCGAATAGCGGCAAGTTGAGCTCTCTTTTTCTTCTATCTTATGAAACAAAACTCATAACAAATTGCCAATGAAAAAAGGGTCCATAATGATCATGTACTTAACCAAGGGTGGAATTATATTTTTAAAAAAAGCCCAACGCTTTACACTTGGGATTGGGAATCTCCATGTCTAAAAAATGCAATAAAAAATAGGGACCCCAATTTGTATAAACCCATATATATACATATCTATATTTTTAATTATTTTAAAATAAATAAAAAATATATCAGTATTATGTTTATGTTAGGTCCAAGTATTGTAAAAAAAAAAACCTTGCCCAATGATACAATTCAAAATCAAAAATAGGAAACTCAATAAAGGCCCAATTATTTTTTAAACTTATAGCTTAAGTCAATTAACCCAGTTGAATAAATTAAGAAATAAAATACAAGAGAATGATATATTCAACACCAACGCGGAAATTGCAAGGACTCAAGGCAATTGTCAACTTGATTATATGTTGTTAGGTTTTGTTTAGCTAAGGTTTTTAGCTTTCCTTGACAAACTTGTAATCTTATATGTAATCAAACAAGCTCAAGTAATTTAGGCTAGTTGAAGTCTGTACCCCCAATTTGTATAAACCCATATATATATACATATCTATGTTTTTAATTATTTTAAAATATAAAAAAATTATATCAGTATTATGTTTATGTTAGGTCCAAGTATTGTAAAAAAAAAACCTTGCCCAATGATACAATTCAAAATCAAAAATAGGAAACTCAATAAAGGCCCAATTATTTTTTAAACTTATAGCTTAAGTCAATTACCCCAGTTGAATAAACTCCTCGAAAGTGCCTGCCTGATGACGGCGCGTGAGTCTCACGCGCCACCTCTATCCCTTCCAAAACCACCTCCTGAGGCTCCGGTTTCACGGGTGTGGTCTCAACAACATCAATGTGACTGTGATCTGATGATGGACTCCATCCGCTGTCTGTGGAACCACTGGAAACGACCACGTCGTTATTATCGTCCACATTCAGCGGCATGTCGCTCCAACTCTCCTCCGAGAAAAGGGCACTGAAACTGAAACTCCGGCAAAACATAGGAGGAGGGTTGCCTGAACCCGTCGGCGACGATTCTTCCAAAACGTTATCGAAATTATCGTCGAGAAGGTGTTGCCGAATAGACTCCAAGAGAGCAAAATCAGACTCCAAACTAATCTCTCCAAACATTTTTGGATGAAACTGTTCTTGGGTTTTTGAATCTTAAGCTCTTGTAAAACTAGATTCGAATGGCTTAGGAGGGTTGATGTAGCTGTTGTGGTTCAGGCCCTGTGTGTGTTGTGCACCCATTTTGGGTAAAAGAGTATTACCAGTTGGAGTCCTTATGAATTTTTGTGTTATTCTTGCTCCAACTATTAGCTGCTAAGTCTTCTTTTTTTAACCTACCCATTTTGGGTAAAAGAGCAACAAAAGGTTTTGGTGGCCGTCACTTTTACCGAGAGAGGTTTTTGAGAGCGTGATTTTTTGGCTCTACATTTTTCTCTTTGATTAGTGAGGTCTACATTTTTAGAGATAGAGTGGTCTTTTTCTTGTTCTCTGCATTTGCAATTGGGTGAGGTTTGAGTTTTCAAATGTGATTTTCAAATAGTTTTGAAATATGCTTTTATTTTCGAAATCTACTTCACCTAGTGAGAAATTTTTAGAGTAAAACTTTCACTTTGCATTCTCTAAGGCGTATTTATATGTGGGCTATGCATATATTTGTTATTTTATTCACAGTAGTGCTGTCATTGCCATGAAACTTCATTGATCTGTGGATTACTTTAGTCACATGCATTACATGCTTAAAAAAATTATTTATGAATTAAATAAATATTAAAACCCAGGGATAGATTAATCTATTGGCCAGTGGCTCAGTTTACCTATTTGTTTATAGACTCCGAAATCAGTGATCACAAGAGGCCAAAATGGCCGATAGTGGCAAGTTGCAATAGGGCACAGGTCACCCTGAATTATTCTCTCTCAATGTTGGTTGGTGGTAGCATGAGTGCATGAACCATGTAATAGTAATAGTCCAATAACATCTCTAATATATATTGCTTGAGATAAGAAAGATTAAAATCCATCATCATCTGCAATTTTTTCAAGAGGTGGGTTTTTGGGTAACCATTTTATGGTGTACTATTCTTGATTGTTGACTAGTCATAATATGCTGAGTATTTCCATTTTGATTCAATGGATGTTCACACACTCTACACTTTAGTTGTTGTTAGCACAGGGGATGCCTAGACTGACGGGTCCTTCTGAGTGCGTAGGTTGTCATTAGAACTCTTCTAGATTTGCAGGTGTTGATTGTTGATCTGGATTAATTTTGTGCATTGTCTTCTTATTGATAGATTTACGACTAGTTGTTGACTAGTCATATTGTGTCCAGGATTGTTTGGTTATTGTTGTGGTAAGTTGTCTAAGTAAGTTTTAAATTTACACCTTCCACCTAAGTACCTCTTCATATGTAAAGTTAATTGATACTTTTGAATCTAAAAATATAAGACAAGTGATATTTAAGTGATAATTTTGATGCATTTTATAAAGTTATTATGTAAATTACATATTATTTGTTTCTTCTATGTTATAATTATAAATTTGAGTTCAAATAATATTTTTTTAACTTATCAAAAAAAAATTCACATAAATATGCATAGAGAGTGAAAGGCCACATTTAGGTTGTTGGCCTAGAAGCTCCAAAATATAAGAGGCTTTCCGTTGTGTGGGCTCAAGCGAAGCCCACATTGATCATTACCTTGGAAATAAATCCTACTCCATGATCTTCATCTTCTCCACCCTTATCCAAGGGCAATTTGGTTCGTGCGATGGCTCTTTAGTCCACGTCATCTATGATGAGTAAAACTGATGCCAATATATGCCTGCCAGTTTGTACATAATGCTAGGTAAAAATGTAATAGATTGAGAATATACCTTCGTCTCAGTGATGTTAACCCAAAAAAAACATATATTTTCGACGACAAAATGGGAAATCTTTTTTATTAAACAAAGCTGACGTCGTACGTGTTAACAACTGCGGGCTGCTGATCTGGAGAATATAAATTAGGCATATTAGGCGACAGTGGTCAGTCGTCACCCCAACAAAATCATGTCATCAAAAGAGAATATCAACAGTGACAAAACAAAATGAATATTAACTAAATAAATCAGCACCTTATATTTTTATTAACAAAATATAATAAGTCTTACAGCAATTTCCAAATAATTTCAATAAATAAAAAAAAGATAAATCGAACTCAAAAGTGCACCACTCTTGCAATTTAGCTCGTTAGAGAATTATTAAGATAATATACGTAACGCAAACACACAAAAAACACCTCAAATTATTATATTCTTATTGACATTAATTAATGTAAGGGGAGGTGCCTCTCTAAGAAAAGACATGTATTCTTCAATTAAAGTTGTTACTTTGCTTTCAAAAGCGTTTTTAGTGATGATCCACCACTTTGGTTAGAGATAATAATGAGATTGAGTGTCAAGTTTTTAATATGCAGGGGCTTATCTGTTTCAATTCGAATTACCAATTAACAAACGGTACAATGTACATGCATGTGTGTGCACGGTGGGATAAAAGTTAAAATCAACATGATATTTTCTATTGAGAGGGGCGATAGTATACTAAATTCACACACACTACACATATATTAGGACTCGAATCCAGAAAAGCAAAAAGGTGTGAAGAGAGACTACGGGTAAGTAGAAAGTCTTAAGTTCTTAAGTTCAAATAATATTGATAAATTAAAGTCTTAAGTTCAAACCTCATTACCTTGAAAAAAGTGTTAAGTTTGAATCTCATTACGCTATTGATAAATTTAAAAAAAAGGTAAAATACTTAAGCTTATTCCCCTTTGTCTCAATGGTCAATTTTAATTCGGTTATTTTGGGGTCATATGCATATCTAGTATATTCAGAGTTCTCGTGACATTAAATGTACCTGGTTGAACTATCTATATATGTCTATAATGAGGGGAGCAAATGCACATGGAAGAAACTTATTAATCCTGAGGGTTTTTTTCTAAATATAAAACCTATTAATCTCATTACGCCATCTTTGGCTGGACATTATCTATGACCTCCGTTGTCTTTTGGTTGGGTGGATTCCATGAGGAAGACTCAGAAGACTCACCGGGAACCACTATGCTAAGTTTTCCCAAATTTAAACACTTAGTTTTAATGTATCTTGACATGTTCCCATTATTGGTTGTTGGAATGTTGGTTTGTAAATTTTTAATTTCCTTCCCACTGCTGGTGGGATATTTGGGAAAAGACTTGACATGAGAGTGCCATGGAAATAATTATCATCAAGAAGATGTTGGTGAATGGTCTCCAAAAGAGCAAAATCAGATTCCAAGGCTACTTTTTTCATCTCCTAACATTTTCCTTTTTTCTGCGGAGGGGACAAAGTTATAATTGTAAAATTATAGCTTCACTGGACTTTGGTTGCTTCTATGAAATTTCCGTAGTCCTAGAGATGGTTTATAATTTCTTTCCATCTATGTACCAGACGCGTCTGGTATCCCTTGTTGATTGGTCATCATCATATGGTACACAGGGACGGATCTACAGAGGAGCAAGGGTGGTCAAGTGACCCCTGCAACCTCTGAAATCTGCCATGGAAGGGGAGAAAATTGACCCCTGCAAAGTGTTTGATGAAAGTCCCCAAAGAGCCACAATCTGCTTCTCCAGCGCGCAGAGATCTTGCGCG